TGGTTATCAATCGTAAGGCTTTTGACTGCAGTCTTTGAAGTTGTAATATTCGGGCTTTGCTAGCGTATCCCCACAGTTCCACTCCGTACGTCCAGATAGACTTGATTAGTGCCTTATACAGCAAGAGCTTGTTTTCCAGTGAGAGTTTGGATCTTGGGCCCAATATCCCGTAGAGTGATTTTATTCTTTGTTGACTTGTTTACATTTTTTACTGATGTGAGTAATCCAGTTCAGTTTGTGATCCACATACATACCCAAATATTTTACTACTGTGGTATCTGGAATATTCGAACTGGGGGGCATTTATTCTTTTTAGGGTAAATGTTATATGACTGGATTTGGCATCATTGATCTTCACTCTCCATTATTGTGACCACAGAAAAGTAAATTAAATGGTAATTTGAATATTTCAACTAAATATAATGTTTTACTTAATTTTTGAACTTTTGAAATATTGTCAATGATAATCTCATGCAATTATCTACAATATGTAATAGAGAGGTCTGTTCAAAAAGTTTCCGGAATTTTCGTTTTTTCAAAAAAATATTTATTTATTCGTCTACATTAATGTGGTCCCCTTCAAAGTAGTCCCCCCCAGATATAATACACTTATGCCAGCGTTTTTTCCAATTTTCGAAGCACCCTTGATATTCACTTTTTGATATGTCCTTGAGCACTCTCAGCGATTTTCTTCAATCGAGGAAAACCGCCGTCCTTTCATGGGTCTCTTCAACTTTGGGAATAGGAAAAGTCACACGGAGCCATATCTGGTGAATTTTTGCACTTTGCAACACTTTATTTCATTTTTTACGCAAAATTTAATACAAATTCTTTGACTTTTCAATTCTTCCATTGTAAAAATCGCCGAGCTCAGAAAAACACGTCGAACCTTAGCGACTACCACAGACAAAGTAAACAGTGAATATAGCTGAAAATTTCATCATACTTTAGGGGCATGTATACCAACACAATAAAAAAAAATTTTTGACAATCAGACACTCCAGACCCGCGAAATTTAATTATTAGTAATTCCGGGTACTTTTTGAACAGACCTCGTATATATATATATGAGTATGTGTATAAATGTTTGGCATGAGGGATATATGTATATTCAAATATATTTATCCGCTACTGCCAAAAACTGCAGCTAATAGAATCGGAAAAAAGAATAATTTTCGCGATGGTCCTTGAGTTGGAACCCGTGCCGCGGTGATAATATTTATTTTTGGTGATTGCGAATCGAACATTGTATAAAAATACCGGCGCACCGGACGCCGCAATCGTATGATGTTTACGGTGATGATATGGCGATGCCAAACCGTTACAGTTACATCTGATTGTTACGATTGAACTTTTGGAAAAGTATTACGACAAGAACGATAATTACTTCATTTCATTCAATTTTTGTTATTATAATGTCCATATAATATGAAGTATTTAATATGAACAACTGTTCGCGTTTGGGAACATTTTTGTTTTTGAAGGAGTTTATCATGCAATATATTCCACTTGAATTAATTCTCCCAAGAACAAATTACTCTTATAATTAAACATAAAAGCCACATTAGTTTATTAACGTATAATCGAAAAAACTCATATTCAAAGTAAAATTGTAATAAAAATAGTACATCAACATGACAAACCACTTGATGTTAATAAAATCATTGAAAGTAGCGTAAAAATTTATTATGTAATTGACTAGCAAAAATATTTGACTAATGATAATGACTATTATAACAAATAAAGAAGTTGCATTGTTATTAAAAACCAAATATTTGGTTGTTCGACTCACACGGTCTATTCAATTTTGAATAATGTATGTATTTTTTTACAATTATGTAATTTTTTATAATTATATTATTGGCAATTGAAGCTTATTCAACCATCTTATGTGTAAACTAATTTTAAAAGTCCTTCTAATCACATTATCAATTGATTATTATTGTTCCGCAATAGTCTCTTAATGATTATCGCGTTTTTATGACTAAAAATAGTTGTATCGTTCATAATTTATAATAATCGGAAATTGTTTGTACCTTTGCGTCGATTATTTTTACTTATTTTTTAACAATTTTCTTAGCTCTATTTCAATTCAATTGTCTTTATCATTTATCATTTAAATTATTAGTTTATAATTTAAATTTCATGTTTTCGAACAAATATTTGTCTTCAACATATAGATACTAAATATGTGAATATATAAAATGTATATACTGAAATCTGAATAAATTATGAACATCGATCCTACAAGAATCTATAGGATTAATAATTTCGATGGAAGCGAACACAACAAAAACTTTTATATATTCATGGGGTTATTTTATCTGTTATTATATTATATCGATACAGCGATGTCACTGAAACATTGTGCTGTAATGTCGTTCCCACAACTGGTGGAAAATCAGCTCTGAAAATAACTCGCACGTACGACGAGCCCTACGATCTTGGCAGGAGGCCACGTGCGGTCTACGCTTTTAGCCCTGAGCAAAAACGATTTGAGCTTTTAGGCTTTTTCCTTTCCGCAATGGGTTTACTTTTAATTTTCAAACGACTGTCTTTAAATGATTGTCTTTTCGAATAATGACATCGAGTTCATATAGTTTTTGAATGATTTTAGTAATATTTTTACCACATTATATAAAAATGTTCGAAATTCACTAGACAAACGAATTTTATGTAAACATTTAGAAACTAATTTAGAATTCTATATAAAATTAAAACAAATATTTTTAGATTCTTATAAACTCTAATTTGTTCTGCGGTAAGTTACTAAATGAGTCGTTTATTTTGAATGTGGCCTTCGTTTTTCAATTTTTTCCGGTCCTTATGGCTGCGTGTACAACTTTAGGTTATTTATCAGTAAAGCTTTTCAGATTGCTTATATATATATGTATATATATATATACGAGCAAATACGATATTTCTTGACACATAACCTAAAAAATACAAACATAATATTAACTATTATAATATTTACTATTGACAATGACGGAAAGTAGTTATGAACAAAATAGAGATGAGTAGTAAATTGTCTCAAAGATATGTAAAATATATTCAGTATTGTTTTTTATCTGAAGCATCTTAAATTGTGTTGATTAGACAAATTTTATATTGAATGTCGAATTTTATATTGAATCTGGTTGTTAATTTTGAAAATAGCATAACTCCAAACACGAAAACGCCCATTATTAACTTAATAATTGCCACCATTTTAATAGAAACGCAAACCCTCAAATATCTCGATTATGAGATAAATAAACTCGGGCCATTTTTAAATTGAACGGCTCAAATATTTTTGTATGTTGATATTATACTTCATGAAGGAATAGTGGAATGAACAAATTCAGTCATATTACGATAATTATACGAGTATGAAATTTTAGCTTAATTTCAATCATACCATGTATCCAACAAAGTTTTTTTTTACGCCACATATCCAACGGATAATTTTCAAATCTTCTGCAGAGGCCTAGTGTTCTCATTGTGCATATTATGATTCGCATCAACTGACAAAACGGAAGCTGCACATCAAACGTTAACACGCCAACGCGTCATAGCACTGGCCTTGTCAGATAATTTTCATCTTCAAGAATAAAACCATGAATTAACAATGGAACAAGCCAAATTTGTATGCGAATTATTTGTTTATTCAGTTATTTTAATGTGTATCTTTAACTGCTCATCGTGATTGCTTCTATTTCATAGTTATTGCGTATGTATTAAACCATGTAAGCTTCAATCGCTAATTGCAAACTCAATTGTGGCATTTTCTATTATTACATTATTTCCGACCCTAGATTGATGTATAAAAATACCACAGTCAACATACATTTGAATTATGATATATCGTAATTTGGATGTTTGAATTAAAGTTATATACATACTACATTATTACAATTTAGTTTAGGTTCTTGTAGTATTACGCTATAGACTGCAGCTTTCAAGATTAAGGTCGGTTTTGTAATGAAATCCTTTCTACTTGTTTCTACTGTTTTAATTAAGGTATTAAGCATATATCGTTAGGATATTAATACAAATAGAACCAGCGGTGACGTAATCGGTAAGGACATAGACTAGCACAAACTAATCCCGTGTTCGATCCCCCAACCTCGGCCAAACTTGACAGCGGGCAGCATAATATCAAATTTCCACCTGAGGTTATCGATCTCTTTCGCAGACATAGCTGCGTATAAAATTATAAATCAAAAAATACTATTACGTATAAGTCAGTAGTCACAACTGGATAAGACAACTACCGGGTTGTCTACAGGAAACAAGTCATATACTACATGTCTACAAAATTTTATATGGGCAGATTGAAACAAAATATATATAAAGCAAATAATTGCTTTCTTCGAACACAACTAATCGTTCCTACATTTTAAAAGAAGAGTATGTAACTATAGATAACGCAACATTATTGATTGTTAGAGTTCAACAGCACACAAGACACTTTTGCAGCAACAGCGCACAATAACACAATTGTTTGAATTATTTTTGTCTAATGTGAATATCGGTCTTTAAGCTCCGATAACAAGAAGAGCATTAATAGGTAAAATATTTTGTATCCATTACTTCTAAAATATGCAATTTTTCTGTTTCTAATATTTTTATTTTGTATTGTGAATTAATTATTATTTAACAAAATGTTTGATATATAAATATAATCATAAAACAAAATTTGAAAAAAACGCAGTTCCACGCTGGAACGCAAAATAAATGGAATTGCCCAAGCGTAACTATTATCTAGGTTAAATCAGTCAAACGACTCTTAAAACAATCTGCATATAATATTTATTAAAAAATATAATTCGATGAGTACGTAGCTAAAATCATTTATGAATAATAAATAGTTGTTTAATTTGACTATAATATCAAATTGCAAATGTGTTGTCCTAGGAACTACTTCACAACAAAGGGTTCAATATTCTCTAAAAAAATGTATTTTAAACCCTGTTTCCTCTATCCTATCCTAATCCCAAATCCTTTGCTTTCTGTAGAAAAAACTGCTGCAACTCTTCAGGTGAAGGAGGCGAGGGTGAACAACCACCTCCTCTAGAAGGGGAAGCACCGCCTCCACCGGCAGGTCCTCCGCCGGAAGGTCCTCCGCCGGCGGCAGAAGCCCCTCCACCAGCAGCTGAAGAACCCCCGGCAGCTCCAGCCGAAGGAGAAGCAGAATGTATGTTCCTATCCTTTATCCTGGTACACTTTTGCATAACAAATAAAAATGTATTGGCTTTATTCAACATTTCTGCTAAAGCTGATGCATTGTCCAACAAACTGAAGACACAAAATGTGAAATATTGAATAGTACCCAAATACTATTTCTTTGAAATCGCAATATTTCATGCAATCAAATCGTTTATCATTATTTCGAACTACTAACATGCGCATACACATTCGCTTGACAATCGATTGAATGTTTTGTGCGCTATTATATTTTAATTTTGGTATAATTGCTTTCCGATATTATAACAGCCATTAATTCTTGATATTTTTATAAACTTTCTAAATCTTCTATTTTTCAAATAATTTATATCCCTGTGAATACAATCAAATTAAACTTAAGGTATATTTATTTTATATATTAGTCTAATGAAACTGCCATGTCTAATCTTATGCTACATATATAATTATGAGTTATTGCTTATTATTATTATATTCATACAACGCACTTTACAGTATATATTTAACATCTTACATTTTCGTAAATTCTGTGGTAAATATAAACACAATTAAAATAATAACTCAATGAGACAATTAACTTTATTAATCAGGTTTTTTGACATCATTTTATCTCGCTATGCTAATAAAGTACAGATAGAATATTCATTAAATAAATTAAGATTTCATACTAATTCATACGTTGTTACAGGAAACATGTGATTACACTAATTTTCATTGCGCCGTACTGAAGCGCTCCAAAATATCGAAACAACAAGGTAACAAAACTAAAAGGACCTGAAACCAAAATAAAAAAATAAACCCTTTCAAACAAAAAAATGACCAAAACATGGTTGAACAAAAATAAAAGACGCAAAAAACATCAAAGATAGGTGAAATACTAAAAACGCTAAAAAAATCATAAAATAAATATGGATAGTAATAAGAGTAAAAATCCGGCATTTACTCTTTAATATCTGAAAAAACAACACAAAAGAGGTGCTTGATCATTTATTTTTTCATAGGAAGGAAACATATGTAATATGCACTCAGCAAATAAAAAAGGTCATATCTAAAAGGTGACTAATAAAAAATCAGAATGTTGCGTGCATAATTTTGCACCTTAACGAAGCAAGATTGTATCGTACTACAAAACAGAATATTGTAAACACCTTTATTTAGAACGTTATGTAACAAATGCCAGAAAACTTCTATGGAAATTGGCCATATAGACAATTAACAGTAAAATAGACAATAGAGTGCATTTGGTTGCCGTTTGACAAAGTTAAACTTGTCTATACAATCAATTTTTATCAGTTGGCACGATAATCGTTAAAGTCAACAATAGTCACCAAAAATAAAAATTAAAAACGTTTCAAAAATTAAAAATATATTTTATTGCACACAAACTACACACGGAAACGAATACAAATTAAATCGTACAAATATTTTTTATGAGACCAAAAAAAAAAATAATAAAAATCATTTATCAAAAAAAATAATAAGCGTTTGTAAAAATATATTCCCGAGTATAAAAATAGTATATTGAAACAAGAAAATATAAATGATCACTTCATGCCATAAAAAAGAGGGTAACTTTCTGCAAGTAAAAATAGTAAAAGAGAACTTTTGTCAACTTGAAATAAGAAAGTAAAAATGATCATTCCATGCTACAGAAAAGAGGGTAACTTTCTGCAAATAAAAATGGTTATAAAGAAGTTTCGTCAACTTGAAACAAGAAAGTAAAAATGGTCACTCCATGCTACAGAAAAGAGGGTAACTTTGAAAATGGTTATAGAGAAGTTTCGTCAACTTGAAACAAGAAAGTAAAAATAATTACTCCATGCTACAGAAAAGAGGGTAACTTTCTGCAAGTAAAAATAGTAAAAGAGAAGTTTCGTCACCTTGAAACAAGGAAATAAAAATTATCACTCCATGCTACAGAGAAGAGGGTAACTTTTTGCAAGTAAAAATAGTAAAAGAGAAGTTTCGTCATCTTGAAACAAGAAAGTAAAAATGATAACTCTATGCTACAGAAATGAGGGTTCCTTTCTGCAATCAAAAATGGTAAAAAAGAAGTTTTGTGTATTGAAAAAAAAGGAAGTAAAGCGTTTCATGATATATTTAATTTTTGGTGGTGTGATCAAAAGTTAATAAAAGCCTTAAAAAAAGAGCAAAAAATAAAATGACCAAAAACAAATAAGAAAGTGTTCAAGGGACATCTGACTTATTACAAGGTCTGCATAAAAACAAAAAAAGAGAAAATTATGAAAATCATGGAAGGGTTTACCAAAAAAAAATTGAAAAATAACCCAGATCTCATGGATCTGAAGAAAACAAAAAATGAATTAAAATTATGGGCACAATGTGCGATTTAATGTGTAACTTCTAAATAATTTCGTCAGCAGAGGAGCATTTAAACAATTATATTGAATAAAATTTAAATACCTTTAGAGACGTTTTATTAGTAATTAATGTTTACTGTTAATAAGAAGTATGCTATTTATAAGTTTGCTACTAATATCAAAATAAAAATTCTAAAATACCAAAAAGCACAATAATGCAGGTTCCATTTTAGTGCGCATCACCGAGATTATCGTAAAGAATTGCAATCTAGGAAGTAATTATTTCGATAACTGGCCAAAAAAATCGTTTCAACCTAAGTAGTAAAAGAAGAAAAACCTATGATAAAAACCTAAACTATCAAACAGTAATTTTTTTCAATAATTTCAAAATTCTCAATCGAGTGTTTTCAAAATTTTAAAGCTTTTAAAAATTTTAAATCGATACGGAAAGTTCAGCAATTTGCTTTAAGCATGATGCTATGCACCATTACTATATTTCATATATTAACTTATTAACACATTAATCCCCATTTCAGTCAAATGAATCAACATACTAACAATCTAAATTTTATTTTTTATTTGACATTTAATATTTTTATTTCACCAATTATTAAATATTTTATGATTTAAAAATTTCTAGAACCAATTGGTTATCTCCAATACTATAAATTTAAAATTAAATACAGAAACCCAAAATAAATTATTATACAGTATCTACACTTTGTAACTATCCTGAAAAAAAATTAGAAAGAAAAATTATCTCACGTTTTTTGGAAATTATGAGCATTTAAGTGCAACCTAGGAGAAACGTAACCGTTTATAACATTTCTAAGATTACAGTCAAAAAGAACGACACATTTGCCCCCAATTTTCAAGAATGAACGTACTTATAAAGCGTGTTGACAAGTTCGATCAAATGTTGGCGCACTTAATCAGGATTTTAAAATGGTAAAATACTTGATGATTTTATAATAATTTGTTGTTCATGAGATCTCTGTAGATTCCTAATCATGACACTTTTTCATAATATTACATGCTATAAAATGTTGAGAGATGAATTGTGGACAAGCGAGGCAGATAATGATGCCAATAATTGATAAAATAATTAATATTTAATTTCCCGTAGGGTTGTTATAGTAATGGCCGAAAATCGAAAATTTATTTTTCATTATCGTTTTAATTATTCTCTTTAATTTTTGCTCTTTATATCAAATTCCTAATTCTATTCAACTTCTATCTTTATTCCCACTTTATTACTTCATTCCTCTCTTTAATCTCCGCGAGTTTAAAATCTACTTATCAAATAAAATTTTATTTAATTTCAAATTAACTACACATATTTTTTATAATCTTATTATAATAAATGTTTAAATTGTTTCCCATCTGCATCAATACATCACCCTATATCTTCTATTAAATCAATATACGCCCTATATGAAGTATTTGATATTTAAGAAATTTGGACGTTTTTGAAAATAAAAATATTCTAACTATTATGATTTAATGTTACATATTCCGTATTTTCTAAACGCTGATTTTCACATGCTCCTAACATTCCTAAACTACCGCATCAATAACGTCAATAAATATAAAATGTTGAATCTTTGTTGAATCACAAACGTTGTTGTATTCATAAAAAATAACACTTATTATATACTTTCCTTTTCTATCCAAATTCTATAAATTACATACGGCAGGTTAATTATCCCGTATGATGAGCAGAGTTCAATGAAAATTCAAGATCAAGTTCGTGATATTGATTGCGCGAATGCGTTAAGTATAGGCCGAGTGTTATCTAATCTAATTGGTGATTTTTACGCATGGCGTGTGCTCAACTTACAGTTGCAACACACTCTGCATTGATTATTATACCAGTCATCACTGATATTGACATAGTTATTTAGTAATTACAATAACTGTCTTAAATCGAAAAATTAATTTTTTCATTAAATACACCAGATTTATAATTTAATATTGAAACTAATATGAAAATTAAAGGAACACATTTAACCTAAAAGTTAATATTTATCAAAAATTAAAATTTAGTTCACATCGATCTTGGTTTTATTAGTTGTGTGTTCAGTATGATAGGGGATTTCAAATTGTGGCAAAAGCCATTATATTGTGAAAGAAATAATCTTCTCACTAACGATAAGTAGGTCTTCCAAGTTTAATATGGTGACAATAGTACGAAACCCGTGGAATAAAGTGAATATATTCAATTGTATCGTTTACTGGTCGCATAAATTTTGCAATATTGGACTAGTGACAAAGGTGAACTACGTGCAGCTATAATTGTCTAAAACAATGACGCTATATATTCTCCTAATAAATAAGAAAATTCATGGGCATAATCTTCCTATATCTTGTTGGAATTTTGTTGTAATGAACAATTATTTAATAAAGCTTCAGATCATATTTTATCTTCAACAATAAAATTTATATAATTTGTCAAAATATATAATATTTATATATTATTTTATTTTATTTTTTTAAATACATATAGCTCGCAGATTTCTTCCAAGAGGACTTAAAAATACAATTATTTTACAATATGGATAAAAATTAATATATATATACGAAATTACAATATATAGTAGAATTAATAATGCACTTAACACAAAATTACATAATACAAAATGTAACAAAATTATTTATTTTCATAGAATAAGATAAAATAATGAAAGATATTTGAAAAGAAATAAAAAGGTTAACTTGAGCAGATGGTGATTATTTGATTAGGTCAGGTGAAGTGTTATGAATATCTACTTCATTATTAAGTTAAAGTTAGAGGACATAAGTAGAATAAACGAATTTAAGAGAATCCGATTCAGGAGTAGGATAACTGAAAAAAAATTGTGAACGCGAAGATAGCCTAGGAACATTAAAGGATAGTTGGTTAAGAATAAGATAACGGTCTATAGTATTATTGCAAAGTTTAAATAAGAACATAATAGTACAGATAAATCGGCAAGAGAAGGTATACCGAATTCTATTAATATAGTGTTGTGGCAAAGCCACGTTCAGGGTAAATTTAGTATGTTTTATAATAAAGATATTTTAGAAATTTATGCTGCACTTTCTCTATTGCATCAGAGTTGTTGATCTGATGAGGATACCAACTGATCGATCCATATTCTGACTTCGAACGTGCATTCGCATAGTACATGCAAAGAAGTGCATTATTTGAATTGAATTCTTTACAATTTCTCAGAATCATTCCTAAAGATTTATGTGCTCTATTACAAATATCAGCTATATGATCAGTAAAAAAACAAACCAGAATCAAATTAAACTCCTAAGTCTGATATTGCATCTATCAATGCAGATGTTAGAGATTTTATATTCATAATGTATTGGAACGTGCTTATGTAAAAAAAACTAAGAATCATACACTTTGAGATATTTAAATGTAGT